ATAGCGCCAGGAGGGCGCTGTCGGCTGTGTATAACCAGTGTACCCGATTATGGCCGGATACGGACCGGGTGTACCCGATTTTGGCCACTCCTCAAAATTAAATGGCATAATTATTTAATTCGATTTCCGCACAGGGTCCGACGTTACCGCACAGGGGTGTGATGACTCGCAACCTACAGAAGGGTAGTAGTGGAGTGCGAGCGATTTCGGGGCAATTTCACCCGTGCAATTATGTCAGTGCTGGCCATGGTAACTTTCACCCCTGCAACCATGCCAGTGCTGGCCATGGAAACTTTCACCTCTGCAACCATGCCATTGCTGGCCAATGGCAACTTTCACCCCTGCAACCATGCCAGTGCTGGCATGTAGCTCTGCTGTGTGGGTAGGTAGGTCATCGTCGCATAGTGTGAAGGAAATGAAACACATTGGTATTTTCGTGGGATCGGGAGACTTGAGCATTGTCCGTTCAACCAAAACACCAGAATAAAAAGAGCAGCCATCAGCCAAAACAACAGCAGTAAGTACCATGGAACGGCACCATGGACCAGCAGCACTATTGTACCTTTGTTCTCCTGAGTACTTCTTTCGCTACGAAATAAAACTCAACCCCGTCACTACCAGAAACACCGAACAGCGCCAACCTCCGTACTGCTGGAATTCGCACACAAGCATGTTCGGGCAGCCAACCTACCACTACTGGTACAACACAAGAGAGCGCGAGCCAAAATGTTTACAGATCATCCCCTCCCGCAGCCCCAACCGATGGCCCATCCAACAGCTCTACATCGCTGTCGCCGTCTATGATCTCCACTTAATCGTCACTGTCCCCCTCGGGAGGTAGCAACTTCGCGGTGACCTCCTTCTCTGCAGTAGCGATCGGGTTGGCGCCAGATGCAGATGACACCTCGGGTAGCTGGAGCGGCGGGAGAGTCACGCCGGGGCGTTGTGCTCCCCACTCGGCGCGCTGCTGGACTAGAACCTCACGGTAGCCTTCACCAAAGTTGTGGGTGCACCACGCGTCGTCCTCGCTACCGTCGAGCGCAAGCGTGAGGCCGCACACCTTGAAGCACATCTTGACCGTTTCGGCGGTGATAGCTGCCCATGACTCCTTGCACCACGTCGACACGAGCCCACGCCCCGGCGGTTGAAGCTTGCCCGTCTTGGGGTCTGCGATCGCCGACGCCATGTACTGTGTGTAGCGCCTCCGCATCAGTCGCTTCATCTCTTTGTCCAGCATGCGATCCAGCGGCTGAAGAAGAGGAGTCAATCCGCCCGGGATGAGGATGACGGTGGTGTTTGTCCTCCTCCGGAGGTCCTCGATGAAGGATTCGCTCGGTGGCACCTGAAGTCGTCCAACACCAAGATGCTGTGCCGCTGCTTGATGACGCTCCCGTGGTTAGGCCGAAACCCCCAGCTTTCGGACAGCCACAGGGTGCACTCGCACGCGTCATACCAGCTTCTCTCCTGCACGCCGAAAGACATGCCGGACACAGGGTACCCGAAGTTGGTTTGGTTGGCAGGAAGGACCTCGGCCGCAATGGAGCCCTTGCGGGGCTGAGTGTTCTTTCCCCGCCTCGCCGTGCTAGGCGGGATGAATGGCTTGCCCTTGAAAATGATTCGCAGGGGAACCTTGCCACCGTCCGCCATAACAGCAAGACATAGCGTGAAACGTTCTTTCTCTTTTCCTGCGGGGAAGAGAAGGGGAGCAAGTGTACGGCGGGGAAAGGGGGAAGCTTGCGATGTTCAGCGACTCAAGCTTGAGACTGGTGTAGTACACTTCGACAGCACGAATCAAGGAACCACACGAGCACGCGAACGCAATACAAGTGCAAAAGCGATATACAGTAACATCCGCAGGCGGAAAGGTGGGGCACGAAAACAAACATATGTATATTGAAAAGGCTGTGCGATCCCGGCTGATACGAAATATGTTTACCAAAGAGGAAAAAGAAAACTAAAGACCCATCGACTGGTGCCAGCAGAGATGGGACGAACACACACACATAGGGCGGTCGATGCTAAAAAATATAGACAAACACAGGCATTGGTAAGGCACATACAGTAATTGGTTTGGGTATTTATCGGTGAAGTCTCACCTCCGGTGCTGATGCGAGCATCCTTCGCACCGCCCTTCTCCAGAGTTGTTTCCACCGGCATCTCCTGCTGGACTGGCGTTTGGTCCATGTTGCCGAGTTCTTCGAACACTTCCGTGGCAACCGACTCTAGCTGCGCGGGACTGAGGTCCTTCCCTTTGATGGGGCTCTCGCCAGATGCAGGTGGGTTGCGCCGAGCGTAGATCTCACCAGCGCGCTCCAAGAGGGCCGTACGAAGCTTCATCAACGTCGCGAACGCCAAACCCTCGTACCCCGTCGGTAGCTTTTGTCCCACGCTGGTGCGCCGGCGGATGCTCAAACCGTGCCGTTCGCGGAAACGATGGTACCAGTTCTTGAACTTGGTCCTGAAAGCCAATGTCTCCTCCGCCGACGCAGCGGCTGTCAACCCGCCGAGAGCGTCAGGCTTCAGCTCAAGCAGCTTGTTCATGACTTCCATGCTTCCGCAGCCGCGATGCTCCCTACGCTGCTCGTTGATGTAGTCCTCCAGGTCTTGTTCGACCTCGGCTGTCGGAGGTGCCACACCAGCGTGAATCGATTTCGCCTTCGATAGTTTAGGCTTCTCCTTCACCAGGTTCTTCATTGTTGCCTCCTCGCCGACCCAGGTGATGATGCGCCTGCGATCCACCGCGAGAACTTTCGCCGCTCCGGAATTTCCCACTGGTTGACCATCCTCGCAAAGGACTCGCGTGAATGCGACTGCTTTCAGTTTGAATCTCATGGGGTAGCTCCCTTTCTTGCCTCCGGTCCTCTCCTTGGCGAAGTCAGACTCGGGGTATTTGCGCTTTTTGTGGTGTGACGGTGTGGGGTCGTTTGCCGCAAGCATCTCGTCGATGGCCTCTCCTGCTGCCAACGGGTCCGCAAGGGCAGGTACCGCGTCCGCAGAGGAAGGACCGCCACCACTAGCCCCTGAGATCGCGGCACCACCCGTCCTTGATACCTCCGACATGATTGCCAAGCGATTGTGGGTCGCGTGTACTGCTGTTGTAGGCACAACTCGACGGCGGGCAATTACCCATGTTTTCCGCCCGCTGCATTTTGTATTTCGCCGCTTTTTGGTGTGTGTGTGTTGTGTTCTTTCTCCAAAACCTAGCATCCATCGGGCTAGCTACTGTGGTTGGCTGACGTGCGCGCGTGTGTGTACGTTGCGTGTGTAGCCTGCGACCGCAGCACAGCTGAGGTGTCCGCGCGTCTGCTTTCGTTCAAGTACCGCACATACTTGAGTTATCGCACAGGGGTGTGCGTTGAAATTCTTGATAATATCGCCTCCAGGGTTTACTCAGGACCGCACAGACTGGAGTCATCGCACAGCGGTGTGCGTCATGTATCAAACCCGATGATTCAATTCAATTTCCGCACAGGGTGTGGAGTCAGCGCACGGTCCGGAGTCATCGCACCCCTGTGCGATGAAAATTAAGTAGCGAATATGTTTAGAAAACGATCGCACGGGGGTGAGCTAGCCCGCAACCTTACGGTATGCACGCATGCCGGTCGCCCCGGTGATCTTGTGGGTAACCTCGCATCCTGCTAGGGGCCAGGTCATGGGTTCGAATCCCGGCAGAGTGAGGTTTTTTCTCACTAAATATATCCTGGTCTAGGATGAAAGCGACGCGTTGCAAAGCTCGTTATTAGTTAGTAGACCATAATCGACTTCGTAAGTCGCAAGGGAAGGGATTGCTGTACCCTTCTCGCGATAAAAATACCTCAGCCAGGAATCGCAGGAGGGGGTTCAGCCCCCCCCTCCTATGTGACCCCGGTTGGGTCGTCTAGCTAGTAGAAGTGGAGGATACGGGCCAGAGGGGCATACGACAGAATCCGATGATGGGAGAAAAAAAAAAAATCATGCGTGTCTGTTCCGTTTGTCGTTCATTTTTTGTTTTTGGGTTGCATTACGCGTGAATTTTCGATGGCGTCGCCGAAACTGCGCTCTCTCTTGAAGCGGCCGTCGTGTCGACCTCCTGGCGGGAAGCTTCAAAACCTCCGAGACACATCTTCAGCCCTTTCCACGCGCGGCTTCGTGCTGCCTCGGGCGCCCTCAGACACCGGCTTCTATCGAGAGGGCGATCTGATCTCGTAGGCCGTACTTGTGACGAGATGAGCACGGGACGTGTCTCTATCGATTCCCGCTGTCTTTTCGTCGGTTGTGCACGCTTGATTGAATGCATACACAGGGGCACACTTTCTCCTCGCCCCCCTTATCCGCCTCAGTAACAGCCCTCCCCCCTCCTTATTCGTGTTTTGTGCTATTGCGAAGACGTCGGGGTGATGTCGGCGGCAATTCTGGACATCGAGGAGGACATGGGCCTTTCCCCCCTACAGGCCGAGGTTTTGGTGGGATCGCTCAACGTCATCGCCGCGTTCGGTGGGCTCATTGCAGGTACAGCGAGAGGTGTATCGTAAGCGGGGGAGCCAGCGTTCCCTACACCCCCACCCCACCTGGGGGTAGAAGGAGGATCTGCTTCTGCTTCCAAGTATTGAATTACTTCACATTATTACGTACTAAAATTTGAGATTGATACAAGAGCGGGATACATGCTGGTGCGCTAAGGTTTGTGTGCGATCCTCTATTTTTGGATTTTGGGGGAGACCCGATAGCGTGCGTGCAGCTTGTAGCACCGTGGGGTGCGTACCGGAAAAGAATCGCTCGTGGTTTGCATCGGTCTCGTAACATACCACGTACTTTTTTTGGGGGGGGGGATCTTCACTTCAGTTCGGCGCTCACAGCACTTGTGCCGTTTACTCAAACCCGTGGTCACATGTGCATACCGAAAAAGGATCGCTCGTTGTCTGCATAGGTCAGGAGTAAGGGTGAGCGTGATTTTTTTTTTTCGAACAAGGGCTGCGTCCGAGAAAATGGGGTCACGTTCTCCCGTTGGTGGAGTGGGGAGGAGGGGGGCACGACAGAAAAGAGCACCACAAGAGAAACATCAGAGCAAACTGGTCCCTCAGAAGAAGTCCGCTGAACTCGTGACACGAGGAACTACGTGCGCGAACCCAGCGGTTTCATGCACTTGCCGCACCAGCAGCATCAGACAACGTGCTCGTGTTGCTCTGCTGCTCGCACACTACGACCTTGCTCTCTGTTTCGAAATCGGAAGTTTTGACCGTTCGCTTGGGCATCTCACCGCGTTTTACATAACACGGAACTCCCAGACACGACCTCATAGTATGCTCTGCGTAGCCGGCGTCGTATCGTTAATCCGTGTCTCTGTTCAGTCTCCTGTTTCCGTGCTCGAACATCCTCGTGATGGTACCTACATACATAGAACCTGCCCATCGTGTCATGCGCGGTCCCAGGTAGCAACCTCAAAGGACAGTTTCGTGTGCTGCTCTTCTGGTACAAACTCTATCAAAACCCCTACCTCCTGATTCCAATCTCGTCCCTCAGGGCACCATGCCACCACCTCCATCATTCGCGCCCCCACGCAAAAACACACGGCCGCAAAGCACGTGCGCACACACTCCGGCTAGACACAACTGCCCCCTTGCTATTTGGTCACGTCAGCCAGAGTGGTAGGTGCTTTTCGGCCAAAGTAAACACACGCAATACAACGCCAACCCTCTACCCTATCCTGAAGCCAACATTTTCCCTCCCCAACGATACATGCATAATACACGGTGAAAAAAACAGGCAAGGCCTCCGACGCCCTCGGCCGGAAGACGGCCATCGCGATAGCGTGCGGCATTTTCATCACGGGGGCCGGGGGCATGACGCTGTCGATGACGTACGCCCAGCTCCTGACGGGGCGGCTCCTGACGGGGCTAGGGGTGGGGTGCGGGTTCGTTGTGGCCCCCGTGTACATCACGGAGATCACGCCCCCGCACATCCGAGGGAAGCTGGTGGCGCTCACGGACATCATGATCAACATCGGGATCTTGCTCGGTGAGTGGTTTTTAATTGGTCGCACACATCAGCACGTACGTGAAGTTTGTCCGGTCCTGCTGCCCCTCTTTTGTGTGTTCGAGCGGCTGCTGGACACTGCTTTGTTTCTGTCGTCACTCCGCCTGGTTTCCTTCTTCCCGCTGAAGTGGTCCGAATAGTCGAGACATGTCTTTTTCAAGCAACGCGTTGAGTCTTGTCTGTTTCCAACGTTTGCCTGGGGCCCGACCGCTGTTACCAGGACAAAAAGTATGAAGTATTTGTTTAGCCTTAGGAATGCGGGTGTTTAAAAATTATGGGTTTTGGAAGAGGGGTGGAGAAATTGGGCGTACGACTGTAAGTGGGATGGAGTAACCAGGGTCCTATCAATCAAAACGGGGCTCGAGATGTACTTCCGAGTGTTAAATCTTTCTCGGGCCTACACAGCAGCAGCTGCTGCTTCTGCTGCTGTTGCTGCTGCTGAGTATTTTTTATGCCTACACAGTGCGTGAAATTGTGCCTCTACATGTATGAGTCCCCAAGTGCCAAGCCCTGCTGAGCGGAGATGGCTGAACGAGGCTGAGGATATTCCCTCGCTGCATTGCTGGGTATTTTCTTTCTCCTTCGTTGCAGCAACTGATTCCCCGCTCATGTCTCGTGCTACAATAGGGACCCCGGGGTCGCGCCGCCCAGTGGTCTTGACGTGTTCACTTTTTTTATTTGGGCCACATGTGGATATAGTCTTAAGATGTTTGTTGTTGCGGTTGTCCTCGTTCGTGTGGTGACCTTCCTTCGACAAGAACCTCGTTACATCTTCAACCCGCCGCACTCACGGACATGTCCCGTTGCTTTTATTGTCCCATTGTTTTTTTGGCTGGTGAAGGGTACATCACCGGGTTCGCGTGCCAGGAGCTGATCCCCCCCGTGTGGCTCAAGTGGAGAGTAATGCTCGGCCTCGGGATCTTGCCTCCAGCGGTCATCGTCATCAGCCTCACGTTCCTGCCGGAGTCGCCGAGGTGGCTGATCTCCAGGGGGCGTATCAGGGAGGGCTACCAGGTGATTGGGTCTTGTTTGTGTGATACGCAATGGGCAGGATTAAGAAAATATGCATCAAACCAAACAAATAAAGGCTACTCGTTAGAGACGTATAACCAGAGTCGAAGGATACGTGTTTGAAGGCATAGACAAAGGCGTACGTAAGACAGTAAACAAACCGAGTTTTGTTGGAACAATTCGGATTTCCATGCGGGGTGCCCGGGAAAGTGTTATTCCGCTTGGCCTTTTCTTTTGGCGGTATGCAAATCTCATTTTGTGTGTGCCCTCTCCTCTTGTCGAGAGAGGTCGTATGATACGTGGTACACCTAGCTTTCGTTCGCCCGCCTCCGTCTTACGTGAGCTGACCTCTTACCTTTTCTACTTTCGCTTTTTTTTATTCATGTGTGTGATTTTGGTATCACGTCAAACAGTGGGTATTCTCCTACGGTGCTTGCTGTTGCCAGTCGCTTTGCTTGCGCCTCGCATCCCTTGCCTTGCATTTGTTTCAACCATGAAGGACTGCAATGATGAGACCCACGACAAGGACGAAAAACAACAAACCCGCTACACCCACCACCGCCAACAATGGCCATCACCGCGAACACCAACACCAACACCAACTAAAACGACAGAGTAGAGTAAATCACCTCGCTACGTCGACCACCACCTCCTCCTCCTCCTCCAGCAGCAGCAGCAACACCAACCGACAGTAACGACAAACAGCCGACCATCACCACCTCCCCCTCCAACAACAACAACAATGACACCCATCACTACCAAATGCTATGTACCGACAATAACAGGTGCTCGGAAGGGTGATTGACGACCCCATCGAAGCCAAGGAAACCCTGAAGGTGCGTGCAGCGACATGATGTGTTTTGCTTGTGTCGTCTACATATTGCATGGACGTAACATCAGTCTTTGTACACCTTTGGGCATGTTTCGGTTTGCTGGAAACATCGGCCGTTTCTTTACTATTTTTCTTGTCGTCTTCACCTCAAATCAGCGCTCACAGCAGTAGCACCGTTTATTCCAACTCGTGGTCACACGGAAGGACCCCTCTCTACCCCCCCCCTCCTACGGTACGTTGCCTTCGATTTTTGATGCGAGAAGAGTTCAGCACTCTCTCCCCTCTGTGTACACACGAACTAGCGNCCAGGAATCGCAGGAGGGGGTTCAGCCCCCCCCTCCTATGTGACCCCGGTTGGGTCGTCTAGCTAGTAGAAGTGGAGGATACGGGCCAGAGGGGCATACGACAGAATCCGATGATGGGAGAAAAAAAAAAAATCATGCGTGTCTGTTCCGTTTGTCGTTCATTTTTTGTTTTTGGGTTGCATTACGCGTGAATTTTCGATGGCGTCGCCGAAACTGCGCTCTCTCTTGAAGCGGCCGTCGTGTCGACCTCCTGGCGGGAAGCTTCAAAACCTCCGAGACACATCTTCAGCCCTTTCCACGCGCGGCTTCGTGCTGCCTCGGGCGCCCTCAGACACCGGCTTCTATCGAGAGGGCGATCTGATCTCGTAGGCCGTACTTGTGACGAGATGAGCACGGGACGTGTCTCTATCGATTCCCGCTGTCTTTTCGTCGGTTGTGCACGCTTGATTGAATGCATACACAGGGGCACACTTTCTCCTCGCCCCCCTTATCCGCCTCAGTAACAGCCCTCCCCCCTCCTTATTCGTGTTTTGTGCTATTGCGAAGACGTCGGGGTGATGTCGGCGGCAATTCTGGACATCGAGGAGGACATGGGCCTTTCCCCCCTACAGGCCGAGGTTTTGGTGGGATCGCTCAACGTCATCGCCGCGTTCGGTGGGCTCATTGCAGGTACAGCGAGAGGTGTATCGTAAGCGGGGGAGCCAGCGTTCCCTACACCCCCACCCCACCTGGGGGTAGAAGGAGGATCTGCTTCTGCTTCCAAGTATTGAATTACTTCACATTATTACGTACTAAAATTTGAGATTGATACAAGAGCGGGATACATGCTGGTGCGCTAAGGTTTGTGTGCGATCCTCTATTTTTGGATTTTGGGGGAGACCCGATAGCGTGCGTGCAGCTTGTAGCACCGTGGGGTGCGTACCGGAAAAGAATCGCTCGTGGTTTGCATCGGTCTCGTAACATACCACGTACTTTTTTTGGGGGGGGGGATCTTCACTTCAGTTCGGCGCTCACAGCACTTGTGCCGTTTACTCAAACCCGTGGTCACATGTGCATACCGAAAAAGGATCGCTCGTTGTCTGCATAGGTCAGGAGTAAGGGTGAGCGTGATTTTTTTTTTTCGAACAAGGGCTGCGTCCGAGAAAATGGGGTCACGTTCTCCCGTTGGTGGAGTGGGGAGGAGGGGGGCACGACAGAAAAGAGCACCACAAGAGAAACATCAGAGCAAACTGGTCCCTCAGAAGAAGTCCGCTGAACTCGTGACACGAGGAACTACGTGCGCGAACCCAGCGGTTTCATGCACTTGCCGCACCAGCAGCATCAGACAACGTGCTCGTGTTGCTCTGCTGCTCGCACACTACGACCTTGCTCTCTGTTTCGAAATCGGAAGTTTTGACCGTTCGCTTGGGCATCTCACCGCGTTTTACATAACACGGAACTCCCAGACACGACCTCATAGTATGCTCTGCGTAGCCGGCGTCGTATCGTTAATCCGTGTCTCTGTTCAGTCTCCTGTTTCCGTGCTCGAACATCCTCGTGATGGTACCTACATACATAGAACCTGCCCATCGTGTCATGCGCGGTCCCAGGTAGCAACCTCAAAGGACAGTTTCGTGTGCTGCTCTTCTGGTACAAACTCTATCAAAACCCCTACCTCCTGATTCCAATCTCGTCCCTCAGGGCACCATGCCACCACCTCCATCATTCGCGCCCCCACGCAAAAACACACGGCCGCAAAGCACGTGCGCACACACTCCGGCTAGACACAACTGCCCCCTTGCTATTTGGTCACGTCAGCCAGAGTGGTAGGTGCTTTTCGGCCAAAGTAAACACACGCAATACAACGCCAACCCTCTACCCTATCCTGAAGCCAACATTTTCCCTCCCCAACGATACATGCATAATACACGGTGAAAAAAACAGGCAAGGCCTCCGACGCCCTCGGCCGGAAGACGGCCATCGCGATAGCGTGCGGCATTTTCATCACGGGGGCCGGGGGCATGACGCTGTCGATGACGTACGCCCAGCTCCTGACGGGGCGGCTCCTGACGGGGCTAGGGGTGGGGTGCGGGTTCGTTGTGGCCCCCGTGTACATCACGGAGATCACGCCCCCGCACATCCGAGGGAAGCTGGTGGCGCTCACGGACATCATGATCAACATCGGGATCTTGCTCGGTGAGTGGTTTTTAATTGGTCGCACACATCAGCACGTACGTGAAGTTTGTCCGGTCCTGCTGCCCCTCTTTTGTGTGTTCGAGCGGCTGCTGGACACTGCTTTGTTTCTGTCGTCACTCCGCCTGGTTTCCTTCTTCCCGCTGAAGTGGTCCGAATAGTCGAGACATGTCTTTTTCAAGCAACGCGTTGAGTCTTGTCTGTTTCCAACGTTTGCCTGGGGCCCGACCGCTGTTACCAGGACAAAAAGTATGAAGTATTTGTTTAGCCTTAGGAATGCGGGTGTTTAAAAATTATGGGTTTTGGAAGAGGGGTGGAGAAATTGGGCGTACGACTGTAAGTGGGATGGAGTAACCAGGGTCCTATCAATCAAAACGGGGCTCGAGATGTACTTCCGAGTGTTAAATCTTTCTCGGGCCTACACAGCAGCAGCTGCTGCTTCTGCTGCTGTTGCTGCTGCTGAGTATTTTTTATGCCTACACAGTGCGTGAAATTGTGCCTCTACATGTATGAGTCCCCAAGTGCCAAGCCCTGCTGAGCGGAGATGGCTGAACGAGGCTGAGGATATTCCCTCGCTGCATTGCTGGGTATTTTCTTTCTCCTTCGTTGCAGCAACTGATTCCCCGCTCATGTCTCGTGCTACAATAGGGACCCCGGGGTCGCGCCGCCCAGTGGTCTTGACGTGTTCACTTTTTTTATTTGGGCCACATGTGGATATAGTCTTAAGATGTTTGTTGTTGCGGTTGTCCTCGTTCGTGTGGTGACCTTCCTTCGACAAGAACCTCGTTACATCTTCAACCCGCCGCACTCACGGACATGTCCCGTTGCTTTTATTGTCCCATTGTTTTTTTGGCTGGTGAAGGGTACATCACCGGGTTCGCGTGCCAGGAGCTGATCCCCCCCGTGTGGCTCAAGTGGAGAGTAATGCTCGGCCTCGGGATCTTGCCTCCAGCGGTCATCGTCATCAGCCTCACGTTCCTGCCGGAGTCGCCGAGGTGGCTGATCTCCAGGGGGCGTATCAGGGAGGGCTACCAGGTGATTGGGTCTTGTTTGTGTGATACGCAATGGGCAGGATTAAGAAAATATGCATCAAACCAAACAAATAAAGGCTACTCGTTAGAGACGTATAACCAGAGTCGAAGGATACGTGTTTGAAGGCATAGACAAAGGCGTACGTAAGACAGTAAACAAACCGAGTTTTGTTGGAACAATTCGGATTTCCATGCGGGGTGCCCGGGAAAGTGTTATTCCGCTTGGCCTTTTCTTTTGGCGGTATGCAAATCTCATTTTGTGTGTGCCCTCTCCTCTTGTCGAGAGAGGTCGTATGATACGTGGTACACCTAGCTTTCGTTCGCCCGCCTCCGTCTTACGTGAGCTGACCTCTTACCTTTTCTACTTTCGCTTTTTTTTATTCATGTGTGTGATTTTGGTATCACGTCAAACAGTGGGTATTCTCCTACGGTGCTTGCTGTTGCCAGTCGCTTTGCTTGCGCCTCGCATCCCTTGCCTTGCATTTGTTTCAACCATGAAGGACTGCAATGATGAGACCCACGACAAGGACGAAAAACAACAAACCCGCTACACCCACCACCGCCAACAATGGCCATCACCGCGAACACCAACACCAACACCAACTAAAACGACAGAGTAGAGTAAATCACCTCGCTACGTCGACCACCACCTCCTCCTCCTCCTCCAGCAGCAGCAGCAACACCAACCGACAGTAACGACAAACAGCCGACCATCACCACCTCCCCCTCCAACAACAACAACAATGACACCCATCACTACCAAATGCTATGTACCGACAATAACAGGTGCTCGGAAGGGTGATTGACGACCCCATCGAAGCCAAGGAAACCCTGAAGGTGCGTGCAGCGACATGATGTGTTTTGCTTGTGTCGTCTACATATTGCATGGACGTAACATCAGTCTTTGTACACCTTTGGGCATGTTTCGGTTTGCTGGAAACATCGGCCGTTTCTTTACTATTTTTCTTGTCGTCTTCACCTCAAATCAGCGCTCACAGCAGTAGCACCGTTTATTCCAACTCGTGGTCACACGGAAGGACCCCTCTCTACCCCCCCCCTCCTACGGTACGTTGCCTTCGATTTTTGATGCGAGAAGAGTTCAGCACTCTCTCCCCTCTGTGTACACACGAACTAGCGCTATCCACTAGGCCAGGAGCGGAACGAGAGAAAAACTCACTTTACAAGAAAAGATCGTTACGCCGGGCTTCGAACCCCTGGCTTGACCTCTGAGAAGGGTTCGACGACATCAACTAGACCACCGGGGCGAACGGCTCTACGGGTATTATGCAGAAGACGATGATAGCAGAAGAGTTTGTCGTTTTTGTTTTGAGGTGCAGCAATGGGTCGGGCACAGACTGCACCATGAAAACGCGTCAACGTCGTAGTTTATTTGTACACGAATAGCTGTTGCTGTTTTGTTTGGGGGGGGAGGCTTGCGCTGTACAGCAGAGGTGCAATGTAATGCTTCATGTGTTTGTGTCGGCCGAGTAGTGGTGTTGCACCGTCCGTGCCCAACCGGGTCGTTTTTTGTGTGATCTCGCACCATCCATGATTAACAAGTCGGTTTCAGGGTGGTGTCTCGTAACAACACACGCTCGCCGGCGCCCTCTGTTGTTGGTCCTACAGGCCATCGTCAAGTCTGTGCAGTCCCACGGCAACGCCGCGAACGGGGGTGACAACAACGAAGAGCCCGGGTGGATGGAAGTCCTGTGGCCGAGGTACGATCCGACAAGCGCTGACTGTGTGTGGTGATGATGGTGCGGGATTTATGCACGTGGATTCGCGAGGGGTGTTGTACCGCAACAGTCCCGTCCGAAATAGTGCTGGGTCCCTCTATTGAGCGCGGTCAATTTTTCGTGGCACGGGTGTTAGGCGGCTATCGACGGTGGAAGCTGTATATTCCCCCATTTGAGTAGCGCGGGGCTCCGGTAAAGGTGCGATTATATTGGTAGCGCTACACTTTAAAGCTTATGGTAAGGCCTCTACGGACTGTGCGTTCATCGTGTAAAAAAAAAAAAAAATGGGTCTTGAGGTGCACGCACGTGTATGCTTGGATGGAGAAGAACGGCCAAGGAACACGTCGTGTGCAATTAATTCCATGTCTTGTTTTCTCTCGACAACACAGAGCTGATCTCAATTTTTCCCTCTCTCGCTCTCTTTCGACGTGTGCGTACCATGGCGATAACACGCGTCGCCCAACACGATCCGTTCTCCGCACCGCCGCGGCTGTTGACGCCAGCGATAAGGTTGTCAGGGCAGCGTTGTTCGTGGGGCTGGGGCTAGGGTTTTGGCAGCAGGCCAGCGGCTCGGAGGCGGCGGTGTACTACTCTCCCCACGTGCTGGAGGTGAGCGAAGTCTACGGGAGACAAGGGTGACAAAGGGAGGATGGCGAGCCACAGATACGATGGTTGTAGAACGGTCTGCCTTCCGGTAAACTCTTGGGCGTTGGTTTGTCGCTCTTCTTGGGTACGGTTTTGTGTATTGTAGGGGACCCTGTGTTTCGAGATTTTACAGCGGTGATGGGGTTAAGACCGCACCACCCTTGGTATGCCAACAGGAAGGGATGAACGGATGGTGGTGGTCCTCAATGGTACCCACTGAAGTGTGCAAAGAACGTCTTGCTTGTATTTGTTTTGGCCAGCGTTTTAGGGCGGTGCAGGTTGGTCTCGTCAAGTATCCGTAGAGAGGCCGGATCAAGCGAGACAGGATGATGAGCTGCTGATGACGGCGTGGGAAGATCCTTTCGAGGAATGGCGACCGATCGCTGCTGATGAACAAGCATGAACCGTGGACTTCTACTTGGCCTTATTTTTTCATCTCCTAGAGGACGGGAGTCGAAGTCTTTCGTGTTCCTTGCTCCTTCGAGGCTGCAGATGCACGTGGGTCTGAGAAGACAGGCAATTTTACCCGCACACGAGCAACACCTTGAGCCGAATGGTGCGCGTGTGTGTCTTGGTGTTGCGCTGAAATCAGGCGGCGGGCATGACGTCACGAGGGCTGCTGCTGGCGGGGACCTGCATGGTGGGAGTGTTCAAGCTGCTGGGAGAAGTCTTGGCGGCGGTGCTGATCGAGAGGTGAGGGGGCGGTGGTGGTGCTCTTACTGTGCACGGTGACCGGATTGTGCGAGAAAGAAAGTCGGAGGCTAAATTAGCTGTGTGGCGTGTCCCTGTCGTTGACGTTGTCGTTGTCATCGTCATCGTCGTTGTTGTGGAAATAGTTGTAGTTTCTTCCTTCCACACCAAAGCATGCTTTTCCTTCTATCCTAGACCTCCAAAGCACAAGAGCACAAAGTAGAAATGGAGGAACAAGATTTTTCGTGCATCGGAAAGATGGGTATAAGCGGGAAACAATATTGCAAGAAACACGTGCAAATACGCTTCGGATTAACTCAATACCCAAACCAGTGGAAGCAAGGGAAAACGGTGCAATCTCGAGGGGACGAGTGATATTACTCCCTAAATCCACCTGCAAATCACTGCGCTTCTTCGCGATTGGCGAGTCAACATGATACACGTCCTACATAACGAACGTCCTCGACTTTTGTTCCGCTTCTTTTTCTTTTTTCGGCGTTTCCTTCCTCCCTTGAAAAAAAAAACAGAGTCGGTCGACGGCCCTTGTTCTTGTTGAGCTCGATCACGAGCACGTTGACTCTCCTCCTCATCGCCCAGTCCTTCTTCATGGAATGGAGCGCGGTACCCACCCTTGTGGTGCTGTGCGCCTTCATGTTCTGCTTCAGCATCGGCTTGGGACCGCTCACCTTTGTCGTGGCGGCGGAGGTGAGGCAGTCACGGAACCCCCTCGGGGGGGGGGGGGGGGGGGGGGGGGG